AGATCATTCTTCGTCACATCCTCCTTGAAGATAGACTTTCCATTCGTTTTAATCAAAGCCAAGAAATTTCCTCTCTGGTAAAAATAGTCCCAAAAGTATTACATTTCCTTACTGAATCATCTGAATATAGCAACAGAAAAGTGAAATCCTTGGAAATAAAAATCAGAGACGCTGCTTATCATGCTGAAGATGTCATTGAATCCTGGCAAATAGGCTTGCTGAAAAGAGTGCGAAAAGTTGATTCCAAGATGGAAGAGGAAGATGTAAATATTACGGACTTGCAGAAAATAATATCAGAAATTGATACCTTCATGGAAGAGATGGTGAAGATTAACGATGAGACTGGCAAACAAAAAATTCAGCCACAGGAATTTTTTCCATCACGACCAGCTCCTAGTGGCCAGAGTACTCTGGTGGGATTTAGTCAAGACTTGATGCAGATAAAGGATCGACTCTGTAATGATCAACAATTGAAACTCCAAATCATTCCCATTGTTGGGATGGGCGGCATCGGTAAAACTACTCTAGCTATGAAGGTTTATAATGATTCGTTTGTCGCATATCACTTTTATATTTGTGCTTGGGTAACAATTTCTCAACAATATCGTATTCGAGAAATTCTTCTTAGCTTTCTAGAGGACATTGGTGTTCCAAGTGATGAGTTGCGCAAAGAGAGTGATGAACAACTAAAAGAACATATCTACAAAAGTGTGAAGGGAAAGAGATACTTAATTGTAGTGGATGATGTTTGGAGTACCAATGCTTGGAATGACATAAAAGTGTTGTTTCCAGATGACAATAATGGTAGTTGAATCCTATTGACGACCAGACTAACAGATGTAGCTGATTATTCCAGCTCAACTAACCATCATCACCTGATGCGTTTTCTAACTGAGGAAGAAAGTTGGAATTTATTTTGTCAAAAGGTCTTTGGAGAGGCGAATTTCCCTCCTGAGTTGGTGAATGTCGGAAGGAATATATCAAAAAATTGTCAAGGACTTCCATTATTAATTGTCGTGATTGCTAGACTTCTTGCAGAGGAAAAAGAGTCACTAGGCTACTGGGAGGATGTTTCCGAAAATTTAAGCTCAATAATAGCAGAAAAAGATGACCATTGCTCGGAGATATTAAAGTTAAGTTACAATAACTTGCCTCCTCATTTGAAACCATGTTGTCTTTATATGGGGGTTTTCCCAGAAAACTATGAGATTCCTGTCTCTAGACTCATCAAATTATGGGTCGCTGAGGGATTTGTGGACCCATTTGTAATTGAAAACCCAGATAAAGTTGCAGAGAAATATCTGATGGAACTTATAGGTAGAAATCTTATTTTGGTAGGTCAAAAAGGATCCGTTAATGGAAAAATTAAAACCTGCAAAATGCATGAACTTTTGAGAGAGCTCTGTGTGAAGATAGCTCACGAGGAGAATTTTCTTTACGTGAAGAGCAGGTATCTACGCTTCCTTCAAGAAGAGGCAAGTTTCAAGCGCCGTCTGAGTATTCATGACGATGCTTCATATAGTGGTAGTGAGGAAGACGTCACAATGCAATCAATGGATCCTCTCCGTTCGTTTATATACAATGGTTGGGATGAAACTCAATTACATTCTTTCTATTATTTTGGTTGTCAATTGCTGAGGGTATTGGATATGGTTGGAGTAGAGCTTAGCGGGTTCCCGGAGGAAATACTGCTCCTAATTAACTTGAGGTATATTGCTATCGCCTGTCATGCTGTGATTCCAGCTTCTATTACTGTACTTTGGAATCTAAATACTTTAATTGTTGAAGACTTAACGGGAATTGCAAGTCAACTGCCCATTGAGATTTGGAATATGCGAAAATTGAGACATCTCAAATTCTCTCGAGTTTTCTTGCCTGCACCTTCCCATGCTAGTCCTTTCGTTCTAGTAA